TCATTATTAACGTGTACTGCACAGAATAGAGTGTTAATGAAAGAGGAACGACGATAGATGTAATTTGGTTATAGGTAATTTGGTGGATAAATAATCGTTTACAAACAGATTATTACTTTTTAAACTGGTTAACTAGGTGGCTGCGCGCGACTGCTCAACCTTATCTTCATAACGAAATAGTGTTTATAGAGAAGATGTAATTTCATAGTTTAATAACAATGTCACGTATGCGTAATAATATGCACAGTAGAGTACACTCGCTTATCAACAATGTCGCGTTAGTGATATATTATATGTTTGTCATAAGGACAAAGATATTGCCTATAATCAATCATTTTTACACCATTTGGAAATGTTTCAAATTTCAAGTTACGTTTCATAGTATCTAACTTTTCTTCCGAATATAAACAAACCCAATAAAGACGTACGGATGACTTAAAATAGAGTTATTAACATTGTTAGAATAATTACACTAAGTCATAAATAGATAAACCATTCATACTTACATTGATAGTAATAGTAAATTCTATGATAATGTTATCTTCAGACAAAATGTTAACAGCGCATGGTAAAAAGTATTCAGCATAGTTGTTAAGTGTAATGTCCGTCTCATATTGTATTTCTTCAGTCGATGTTTTTATTTTTGTCTATAAAACCAAATGTTTATACTCACTATACAATTAAGATTAAACAATACATATTTCGATACTTACTATCATTGCAATTGTTGACTTCTTATAATTGCATAACAAAATGCTGAGTTTGTACTTATTTGGAGGTACTTGAAGTATGGGTATTGTTAACTAATATACAATCGTTTATTAATATTCACAACATTGTACAAAGCGTTAGACTATTGTATTGTATTGATAATTAATTAATCACTTACTTTATTGTTCACATAAAGGTACAAATATCCCTTATAACTATTAAATAATAAACATTAGTAACAATATTTTTATAGCAATAGGTATTATTATAAATTACTTACAGCACGCATCCATTCCTATCTTCAATGTGACTTTCAAATGCAAAATGTGCTTTCAGATGACCTATAACAATAATAAATATAAAGTAATTTAGTATGCATAATAATATATAAATTTATGCAATCAAGTGTAGTGTAACCCCTTACTTTTGTGCATATGGTATACTTTTTCATAGAACGCGTACAAATGCGTATGATTATACTCAGTATTGTTATACTTGTTATACCAGGTTACAGCAGTGTTATACCATCTGGTGTAATCATCTGTTCCATACTGATGGATACACAGTGATTGCCATTGATTAATATTATAATTATCTAACTCATACATTGCCTTATGAGAACAACTATCCACAAGGATTTTAAACCATTCCACATCAAAGTGTTCAAGTTTGTTTACATATTCACGAATAAAGTCAAATGCCTTTCCTTGCATATTTGAATGTTTAATATACTTAATATTTTGTTCAGCCCTTTTCTTATTCCCCAAACCTACATATGCTAGTAAACTTAAGCACCAAGCATCATCATACATCTTGTTTACTTCAATTGCTGTCTCAATATCAAACAGGGCTTTTTTAAAATTTTTCATTTTTATCTTCATCATTGCACTATTACACAGTGCCACATAATTTGTGGGATCAGTTTGTAATATTTGTGTATAGATGTTCAAAGCCTTTTCCAACTTATTATTTTTGTATGCACTTTTAGCTTTTTGGAACAAGTTGTTTATATATGGTGTTGTTAATGATTTCCAAATTGAATTCCATGTGGATCCAGAATCATACTTTCTTGTTCTGTTCTTTCTTTTTTGTTTTTTAAGGTCATCACACCCATCAAATATGTTTGCATCTGTGTTATTTCCAGCATTAGCAATATAATTGTCTTGATCATCAATGTCTGTAATATAATATTGAACATTGTTGTATATTGTTTGTTGTGGCATATAATACACTTTATCCTTTCGAATTTCACTTCTGCAATAAGGACACTCAAGGTTATTTAATGATAAAAGAGCCTTTGAGCTAATAATATGTTGACAATTGAGCTGATAAAAGTCACCAACTGCTTCACACACAATAGCACATGTTAGATCTTCTGTAATATAGTCAATTGGGTTTCTCTCAACACCTTTTCCTTTCCCTTTCCCTTTGTCTTGTTTTTTATTTTGAGCACTTGTTGTTATTTGGTGTGGTGAATATTTTAAAATCATTTTTGATTCAACTTCTAATTTCTCTTTCAGGTAATAGTACATACTCACCAATCTTGGTATATACTTCTCATCACAACCAGAAATATCATCAGGTATTGTAACAAACAATTCATTATTTTTGACTTCAAGACTCAATAGCACTCCAATGGATTTGAATTGAATAGATTCTGTAATTGCATTATTCAATGAGTCTAACGCTATGTAATAGCAAATAGCCTGTATAGTTGTAGAAAATGTTTTCTGGACAAGTTGCTGGATAATATCTAAAATGCCAAACCAGAGTTCATCACTAACATCCTGATTCTCTGCTGCATTTTCAGAGTAGCATAAGCTGATATGATACCAGAGATACTCAAGAAGCACTCTTTCTTTGAAACTTGTTGAAATGGCAGACTCTTGTTTACACCATTCATCAAGACTATCTTGTAGTATAATAAGCCTTCTCCAGGTTGTGTACCAAGGCTTGCCTGATGGTTCAACATAAAATGCTTCTATAAAATATTTCCATGATCTCTCTATGTCAAAATCACCAAGTGGAACTTCAACACCTGTAATTAATTTAATCCCAACTTTAGCTACTCCAGGAACAGCAACAAGTAAACCTTTTAATGCTGCAATGGCTCGATCAACCTTTTTCCAGTACTGGTTTTTCTCATCACAGACAGTGTTTAATGTATTCTTAATGAGTTTGAGAAAGAATCTACTATTGTAATTGCATTTGAAGCTTTTGATAGTTTTGTCTGATTTATTAAATTCTGAATAATCAGGTTTCCAAGTTTCTCCTCCATGCTGCATAATTTTTGAATGTGCCTTCTTGTACATGGAAGTGGCTTGTCTAACACCATCAAGAAACTGACATGTAAATTGACACTCATTCTGACACATTTGTTCCAGTATAGTTACCATAATTCGTAATTGCCATTCCAACTTAATAGTTGTTTCTCCTGAGAACACTTCATCAAACTCTTGAGAACATAGGCTCTTCATGGCTGTAATTAATACGCCTACTGACACAGAATCTCCTTTATGCTCGAGAATGTATTTGAGCACATAAATATTCTCTGGATATTGCAAGTCCGTTAATAATCCTTTTATTTGCACATCTGATGACATAAGCCCTTGTTCCATTAATTGAAGTATAATTTTAGGAAAATTGCCTTGATTTACAGCGTTGATCGAGGGAGTCCTAGGAGCACTTGTTGTGGGGAGTGTGTCTAATACATAGCCGGTCGTTGAGCTAGAACTCATCGAGTTGATTGAGCTTTCGGTTTTCTGCAAAGTAAACATGTAGTCATTAACAAATAAACTAAATGAAGTATTTCGCATATGTGTTTGCATTCCTCTACCTCATACGCCATTGTGTAGAGTAGTCACTTAAAATGTTCGGAATAGGAGTCAAAGGACATTGGTTTTCTGTGTAACATAAGACTGCGGCATTAATGTTCAACACTAAACCCCTTAAGACGTACTGCTGGCTCTGGACTACACAAGAGCTTTTAATATTCTGTCTCAAGCAGTAAAAGTTCATGCAAAGCGTCTTTTGAGAACGTTTTTACAGATTCTTTTGCAGTTTTGGAGAAAGCAAGAGAGAACTAAACTCTAAATAGTTCTGACTTGAACTTTGAACAACTTTTTTCATTATTGCTACTTTGTTTAGAGGGAAGGAGGATTTCGTAAGTATATACGTATATGGGGTAAAGCGAGAGTGTAATGCGAAATCTGAGACTATTCTGTAGCAGACCACTAAAGTTTCCCTTGTATGCTTTGAAATACAACCTGTTGCTACAACAACTACCAAGAGTACCAACTGTCTTGGCTGTCAGTAATATATAACAGTTACATTACCATGTAAGCTTCCCATTGCAGTATCTTGCGAATGTGCTTCTGACTAACCTCTTTCATTATTACCTTCATATTATGATAGTGTATTGAGAAATTGGGACGTATGGTATATGCTGTATATAATATATATTATAATGATCTCGAAAACGTGAAATCAATTTTCGTCGTCAATCAGCACTAAGACAACAACAATAAAGAATCCAATGCTCATGAAGCTTATATGTTTGTTAAGCGTAACTGTTGCCAACATGTTTGTTAACCATAGCTGTTGTCGAGGTGTATATCAAAAATTGACACAGAATTAGAATATTAAATTTCGATATACCGATTCGTCATAATCCGGAATAGCGTAACAATCAAGAATCCAATGCTCATGTAACTTACATGTTTATTCATTGCAGTTCCCAAGCATAGACGTGGCTATTTGGAAGCGGATCATGACGTTACCATCGTCAAAACGGAGGAGTTCGAAAAGTATGTCGGCAACCCACTCTGTACAAAGTTTAACTGGTATTCCGAGAGAGATAGAATTCCATTTGACTTATTTATATGACCATTCACCATCATATCTCAAAAATCATGTAAAATTGATCATGCGCAGTGTATTTCTATGCACTTTTGGTGTTCCAACACAAACAGTCCTGGTACAAAGGGCTTCATCGTTAAATGCCGGGATACCAAATTTATTGAAATAACATTAAAGTGACAATATATATAAGAATAGTAATAAATCTTTATATTCTATAGTCGTTTATAATTCTTGCGCTCGCCATTATGACGATTACCGATCGGACGAGATTCTATATTATGGTATTAATCACGAAAGATAATTGGTAAGATAATTATTACTCAAACTCGTCAAACAGACTTATTTCCCATCACCATCCCCCTATACCATATCATACCACCCTATTACATTTGCTATATCCAACTGCCTTTGTAATGCAACAATCTTTTTTACAGAGATGATAGAAAATCAGTCAATGATAGAGAAGCTCCTCTGTCGCCATCACTTCCTCTACCGCCTTCCTTCTTTTCATCCTTTGCTAATAGTCGCTGAAGATCTAATTTCTGTTTCTTCCTTTTTATCTTCGTTCCATGCGCAATGTTCCGTTGCACGAGAGTTGATCGTTTGCTACTAATGTTGGCAGTTATTTCAGTTTGTCGTTTATCCGGTTCATCTTCAACCTTTGTTTGTTTCAAATCGTGGCGTGCGCTACCATGGATGCGAGTTTCGGTCTTGCATATACGACAGAAGTAAGATACGTAATTTCTGGAGCGGGGATTGTTTGCGTTATTGGTATTATGATTCAAAGTTGCGTGATAAATTCTGTGTGCTGTGTTAGATGGCGTTGTTTTGTTGATGGAAACAGTTTCCTTTAAAGGCGCCGGGCTACTGCCCGTCTTAACAGACTCCAACGCAGTCGATGTGGTTGAATCAAATTGTGTATTAACTTTACGGCGTTTGTTGTGTCGTCGTCTAACTTTCTCAATGCTAACTTGAGAGTTAATGCCAGGTACAAAAATAGTTCCACAATAATTACAATAAACTCTCTTGATTGCTCCAGCGAGGTTTAGGTTCCTTTCGACTGCTATCTGATCAAACCGAGATAAATAGAATGCTGACAGTGAAGGTACTGCCGATAAAACAGTATGAGAAGCAGACCATAGAAACTGTAAGTGGGCTGATGTTTCTTGAGAAGTCATAGTTTTTAAGTATCGCGAGGAACTTTTATTCACAACATACTTTTTAAGAATTGAAGTCAGCATTTTTGTAAGACTATTACGTCACTCATGAGAACATAAATCTTATCCCACTCTATACAGATTATAGTCTACTGCAGTGAATACATCGGATGACTACCGTTGAACCAAAATTAAAGGAATATCATGTCTGCACCATTCGTGCTTTCGTCGCCTAGTTACCGGACGATATATAAATAACTAATCAATACACTATTGTTTATGTGCACGATATTTTGACGACTTTACTTCCATCACTAAGCATATGCCCTTGAGATATTCTCATCTCGGGAATATGTGTGGAATTCTCATCATACGATCAGATGCATAAATCATTTACTTTGAGAATATAGTTGATAGCATCTTTGTTGTTCATCAATACAATATCGACCGCCAATTATTACTCAGGCTAAACATGCCATCTTTCAATTCGTCCGTCCTTCTGTCCATCTGTCTTAGATCAAAAAGTTTGATGTTTCATAACGAGCTCTTGATAATACGACCATTTTGGTTCAGCCCTGATGACTTCATATCATCGAGAGTAAACTGAGTATTAGTATGCAACACCCTCCCCCACACGAATTTTTTGACGCACGCTTGTATTAAATGCTTATGAGGGTAACTTATATACGTCATTAGAAAACGTCCACGTGAGCGCGTCCAATTACTGGAAAAACAGCAATATGTATTGTATGACCATGAAATTTAATTTCTTCACTATTACTATCTATTAAGTACAAAGGTTCATTAGATCAAATAGTGCTTGAGCAAAGCAAACGGTAAAATCTGGAGCACAGAAAGGGAGTAACAATTTTTTATTTTGAGAAACGCGGGCAGGTTTAACGCGAAATTTTTCGAAACGCGTGTTCCGTCACCGTGCAATATCGTCATGCACAAAATATTCTTACGCACATTCGGCTTCAAAACAAGAGCAAATTTAGAAACCCTACAGAATGGTTGCTATGCTCATTAATTGTATTGGTTTTCGACAAAATTTGCCAATGTAAAGAGTAGCACGAACTGTTAGCAGGGATACAGTATGATAACACTATCTGAACGCATTTAAAAAGGCAACGAAGCTAGTATTGTGAATTATCTGCAGCTAAATGTCGAATTTCTCATTCGGATCTTTCACACATCTACAATCTCTTTATGCTTCCTTTAAATTAATCTCCACGCCTTTTATTATTCTTTCCAGCAAATCTCTCAACAAGTTCTTACGCTCATCTTATACACGTACATCTCGAGTTGAAATTGAACCAATTTGTCTGTGCGCGATTAAGTTGTCTCAAGTCGGTAGAGTAGATATAGAAGTCCGTAAGCCAAGAGTGTATATAAACGATAAATAACATGCACACATGATACGTGAAATAACAGAAACATATGGCCTATTCTTCATATCTTTGATTACTTTAGGCATAGTCTGGAAAATCGACAAATTAATGTTGAGCTTATTATTATGTGTGGCGCTTTCAGGATGACATCCGTTGATTGGCTGATCTATTCGTGTATGAAAAAAACATAAGCGAATAGTGATATCATTCTAAGTAAATAGTCGGGAAAGTCGAATAACCATTTATGGGGTTGAATTATTGGACGATCCCGCCTACAAGCATCAGTATATAACCAAAATAAGGGTAGTGGGAAAGAAGAAAAAGCCTCTAATATAAAGTTAATTTTACATTTGAAATCTAGCCCCCTGTTGAATTGCCAAACTCTTCTAATAGATCGGGAAAAAAAATGTATCCGGTACTTGCTGTAGCTAATCGTATCTACGTATCAAATTATCAAGCACATCCGTTGTTGACTCTAGCGAGTATCAATGCAGTATTAGCTGGCCTGGCGGATACGTTGGCTCAGTCGATTACTCTGTATAGATCTCGAGAAGTAAAGAGCGAGAGACACAACGTATTCGTCGATAGTTATGAGCGAGAACGGCCTAATAATGACGAGATGTCAATCGGAAACGTTCGAATACCCCTGGACGCAACCAACAGATCCTTTGATCCATATAGACTCATGCGGTTGTCAACGTACGGCTTTGCCATAGCTCCTATTATTCAACAATGGTTTTTGGTACTTGACCGACGATTTCCCATTCCGACGCAAAACATTGGGTTGACGTCTACGATAAAGCACACAATGAGCGCAGTCGCTAAGCGCGTTGTCGTTGATCAGATATGTTTTGCTCCTTTTGGGCTGGCCTTCTTCTTTTGTGCGATGGGAGCTATGGAAGGTCATAGCGTCGATAAGATCAAAGAGAAGTTTAGAGTATCATTTGTTCCCGCTCTGAAAGCCAACTATTGTGTATGGCCTCTTGTGCAGGTTGTTAATTTCAGATTTATGCCGTTGAGATATAGAGTACCTTTTACTGGCGTAATGGGGGTTTTATGGACAGGATATCTAAGTTTGTTAAATAGTACGACTAGTGTTCATTAATTGATTGAAAGAATCAAATTATTCTTTTTTTCGTAAAACGCAAGGCATATTGTATGTATGCCAACGAATTTTACCATAAAGCAATTCCGGAATTCATTGTTCTGGTTCTGGTATCAATGCAAACTCTAAACTTGCCATATTCATTGTTAATGATGTACTAGATTCTAGAACAACTTTAGACATGACTAAAACTCTTTGCCTTTACAATGTGTCCATTACTCGCGAATTACAGTGTCTGTTACGTTATTGATCCATAAAGCCATCGCATCGCTGAGTCACCCATTCGTCCAGCCTATATGACGATGAGAATGCTTCCAACAATATCGTAGATCAATCGAGAAAATCTCCATCCTTCAATGCATTATGTTTGTAACTTGAGAATTGACAATGCGCTCAACAAGAACCAACTCGTGGCATATTACACGAGTTGCATTATATTTCGTCCTTTGCCTTTTTGTTTTTCTTTTGTACGAACGATGACAATACAAAAATATCATTCATTTAAATATCTTACTATGTTTAGCGTCACAAAAAGAGTCATGTTTCAAGTAGGGTGTCATGTGCATCCACATTAGTAAATTCCCACACACATGCAAAAGCTCTATACTATATACCTTATTATTGTTGTGTGTATAGTCCATTATAATAAGTACGTACGATTAATAATAGAATAATGGACTCTGAAAGCTCGCATCGCTATGCGTTTGGCTTGGATCGTCCCTCCGCAATAACAAAAACAATATACGAAAAGGGAAAAGAAGTAATAATAATAGAAGATACCCCTTCCCGATCCCCTTCACATCGTCACCGTTCGCCACCTCCCTCGCCACACTCGACGCAAATGTCGCCTAGCCACATACCTTACCACCACCACAGGTCGAAAAGACCCAAATACACTTCACGCGCCGAGTCAGACGAGCAGAATTCCTTCAGATCCACAAAGCGTCGGAGCGAGCTTACTCCTTACATGTGCCGCATGCCCCGTTATGCCGCCGCTCAATCGACTGCTTCGACAAAGTCGGGCGCGATTTTGACCGATTCTTCGGGCGTTCTACCCATATTTGTAGTTGACGACCTTCCTGCGACCGCTCGAAGAGGGTCTAGAATGGCTCAAGCAGGATTTCGGGATGATAGAGGCTCAACTTTGAAGAGGATTCGAAAAGAAAGAAGCAATCTGGCGAGACGACGTGATAACTGTGATGGCGATCGTCGTTATCATAACAGGAGCTCAATTCGCAATGCTCGTTATTATCATCCGTACGAATCACGAGAACCGAGAGGAGGCCGCATGGAGATTAGTCGTTCTCATCGTCATCACAATTACGATCATTACGGGCGACAGGATGATTTCAATGACAGATATTACGGTCGAAACGATCAACGATACCTTGAGGCTGGACCATCAAACAACAAACAACGAGAACATCGTCAGAACTGTCGAGAAGAGCGGAGACGCATATCCGTAACCGATACATCTATAAGAACGAAATATGCGGTAAGCAATAATAAAAAGAATTTTTTTTTTATTTCTCCTCATTATAAACTCAAAACAACACATTGACATATTCTAGTCACCTGGCGAATTACTACGCACATCATCCCGAGTTAACCACAGACGAGAACGACTAGAATGGGATGACGAAGACGGGCATTTAGTCGTCGCTCCTGGGATGGATATTGGATCGAGATGTATATATTTCTTGTATTATCCGTCTGTTCTTTTTTATGTATTGTTCATACGAGCGTGCAAAAACCATCTATTCGCTGCATTCGAATAGATCGAATATTTCGTATCCTTGGTCAAGGAACATTTGGGCGAGTAGTTCAAGCATGGGATAAGAAAGGGAATGTAAATGTTGCCATCAAAATAATACGTGCCATACAAAAGTATTTAGAAGCGAGTTATGCCGAGATTGGCGTGTTGAACGCAATAAAGGAGAACGACCCGTATAACGACTTGTAAGCATATTATGTTTGATATTTTGTTTTTCGTTGTTTATATGCAACGTTTGTCTAACTGCTCAATTATTTACTAGCCAGTGCATTCACATCAAAGAATTTTTCGAATATCGCGGACATATGTGTATAGTGTTTCCAATGTACGCCCAGTCTGTCTACGATTTCCTCAAGTCGAATTCATATCAGTCTTTTCCAATGAAACATGTTCAACAATTATCTCGACAATTGTTACGATCGGTTGCCTGTACGTCATTTTTGTTTCTGTTAAAGTGATTTGCGCGCGCGTAACTTAACTTTTTTTTTTCCTAGTCATTCACTCGATAAGATTGTGTCATACCGATTTGAAGCCGGAAAACGTTCTTCTTGCTGACGACGACTGTATAATTGTCCCGTCTAAGGTTGGTAAAAATCACTTCAGATCATACACATCTGAAATGAAGTGTATTGGTGGGAGTTTGGAATTAATTACAGATTTAACGTTAATCACTAGCACTCGTCGCCACGTGCTGAGACGAAGGAATTACTTTCTACTTATATCAAACTTATTGACTTTGGAAGTGCTATATTTGAAGATGAGTATCACTCACCGGTTATTTCGACGAGGCATTATCGCGCACCTGAAGTAATACTGGGTAAGCTATGAATATCTACTTACCGTGTTCTGAAGATCCCAAGCCTGATCTTTTTCATGCAGGATTAGGATGGTCGTATCCATGTGATGTTTGGTCTGTTGGCTGTATTTTGGTTGAGCTTTTCACCGGAGATGCCTTATTTCAGACTCACGATAATTTGGAGCATTTGGCATTAATGCAAAAAGTACTTGGCCGAATTCCAGTTAGAATAGTTCGGCGTATAGGGTACTGTCCCTCGTTGCTATCCTGTGATTCTTCTAATGCTTTGTCAGCTGTGCATATTCACTCCCGGTATGTTTTTCCATAGGCAATCCACATATTCGAAATATTTCAGACACGAAGAACTTGCTTTCCCGGATGAAACTACTTCAAAAAGTAGTATCAAATACGTCGAGAATACAAGATCACTAAAGGTATTATATTTATTGCGCGATTTACACACGCATCTTCATGAGACTAATATGCCTTTTAATAGGAAATCATAGATCCCCAAGAGTCCGGGTATCACGCGGCGTTTTATGATTTATTGGTAAAATTGTTAGATTACGATCCACAACGAAGAATTTCCGCCCGTTCGGCCTTGCGTCATTCATTCTTTTCAATCGGCTATTCTCAATAACTTGAGGTTTTTGAGACTTTGGACATGTAAAATGGCACTTTTTTTATACTGACGACAAAGACTTTGGGCATTTATTCGTCTATGCCATAGATTTCCTTTATTCTTTGTGATATGAACTTGTTGACAATTTGTCATTCAAGATTTGTTTTCACTTGAGAATAGGCTAGATTTTGGGGCTTATTTGTGTGGGAGTCGGACCCAAAAGTATTATCGTGAAAGAAGAAATTCAATGTACAATATTTAGAATAATGCGTTTTTAGTTTCATACAGAATGAAGTTAATTTGTTGGTTGTACTGAGTTCCAAGTGATGTAGACTGAAGTCATGGTTTGTTTTTTTGAATTGGGCAGATTAAGCTGGAGATTCTATGGACATGATTAATCGACTTGTAATTTTACTTGCAGGCTGCCCATTTCGTTGAATAAAGTAAGGGCGGACATGTGGATGATGTGTCAACATCTTCAGGAAATAATTGTGTGCGGCACGACTTGTGTGTTAGTATTGATGATGGAAATACGACCTAACGTAAGAATATCAGCTAAGAAATAAAGAATTAATTTTGAAATCGACAGTAGCTGCCACAATTCGGTTATATTTTGTATGCGAGTATCGCGAAATATTGTAAACAAACATGTCTTTTCATATTCTAAAAATCAATCTGTAAAAACACTATTTAGACTTATAGTATTAGAAAATAACACGAGTTTTATTTCGATATTTGATATTGCTTTTACAACGTTCAGGATAAATGAGCTTATATTTGTGTCACGTGTCGTGTGAAGAAGCTCTTCTTTCCAAGTCCCGGCAAGTATCTTGTGAATATATGAAAGTCCGAACATAGAATATCAAAATGAGGAATATTTTATTTTCTTAACGAGCATCGAATATATCAAGGCTTTAAGCCAATTTGACACTAGTCCCGCCGAGTACACAATGGCATTCGTAAAAAGGAATCGAATTTCGACGGACTGGGAACTAAGCTTTTTAGTTTAGGCTAATAAGCAGATCGCTAGAGCGTGAGAGAATCAACGCGCGCGTAACATCTAAGGAAAGAATCGAGGCCATTCAACCAAGGTTTTTGTTAGAATACTTTCTCCGCACTTTCTCTACCTAAACAAAGTGAGCCAATCGGCTCCTTTCGATTTTGCTCCTCCTCGCTTCATTTCCAAAACAATGTCTCTTTTTGCGTAGTTTCTGAATATATAAGAAGACTTAGTCAACTCAAGCTTTAGTCTAAAATTTTCATAGCAACAACAATTATTTTGTCTGAGATTTACAAATTAACGGTTGTTGAAAAAACAATGTCTGCAATTGTCTATTGTTATCGGCCAGTCAAGACAAAGACGTTATTAAAAGTCATCACTTTTCAAATAGTTTATTACGTTACCAGTGATTGAATAAGGTTGTGGTTAGACAATATGATTGCAGTTTCGACAAGGAGCAGCCTGAAACATTTGTGGAGTCACGTTGTTAGTACGTAGTATGGACTTATGCCATTAATTTACTAAACAGCTATTTTTTTCAACATATGATTTCTCTATTGGGAATTGTGACAATCGGCGTCAGTTTTGTTTCGTATATACAACAACGAAAAGAGTTATCGGCGTTGAAACCCCCAAACACCAGGCCCCAACATCCAGTAACTAAAATAAGGTATACTGGACAAGGCGGAAGGTTGAGCCGATACAGCTTCCAGTTTACTAATTTATCATTACTACTTTCACATTGAAACATGAAAGTTATTAGATCGCTCATTTTCTTGTCCTAAAAATATAAACATTGCTGATATGTCCGTTTTCTGATCAGTTAATTATTAATAAACCTCCCCCCCAAATATTGAAAAACCCTTACATATATCGTAACAAAACACATCTGAATGTCCTACGACAAAAACGGGCGATAATGGAAAGCCTACATGTGCACATTAACTCCTGTTTCTTGTTTTCCCCTTAAAGTGAATGTATTACTCGATTCGTCCAAGCTTCTGACACAGTAATGGGAAACAAACGAAGCATTTTTGCATTTATTACAAATTTGTAAAGAATGTCCATTCCCCATTCACCATCAAATATCGTAATTTATGCAACATCAAAAAAAACATGATGCAAGAGTTCTTTGTTAAGTGAATGGCAACTGAAATGGACAACAGACGAGAGTAGGTTGTGTAAGGAAATCTTTGATGCCAAAACGGGATATGATCTACAGAGTGAACTGACCAACTACTCAACACGGTTTATGTGGGATTGATTACTCATTGTAACGTAATATTAATAATAAAGATGACAAGGCACATGCAATGTAATCACAGTAACCGGTTATACTAATTTTGTGAGACCATTGGCAGGCCATTATTTCAAACTTGTGTCAAAGTGAATCGCAGATTGTACAACGTCGGTGGTCATTATCATTATCATTATCATTATCATATTCGCGTTAGAGAGAGAAGAGGGTGGTCAAAGAGGTCGCTGGTTCTATCAAAGAGGTCGCTGGTTCTATCAAAGAATCACTTTTTCTGCACATCACCAATTTGAAAAGACAATTTTGTTTTTATTTATAGGCACCGTTGGGGAACGCGTGAATATATATAATCCAAAACTTACAAGTATATATAAATAATGTAAAGAAAGACTGTCGACTTTGTTAGAGTCAAAATTGTGTTAAATGATTGTAACTGTATGATTAATGCAAAATGTGGCAATGAATGTGTATAGTAAATCAACATGGTTGGGATGAAATTTTCTATGAAGAAATGCTAAAATATGCCTAATGAATGAGACTGTGAACGATGCAATTTCTATGAATGCAAATGTGGGAAAATGCCGAGAATGCGGGATATATGCACTGTATATAAACTACAAAATGCTTGTAAAAATGCTTCTACAGAAACATGAATATTTTGTACAAGATGCCAAATGAAATAGAAGAGAGAGGGAATTCGGGAAGACTTTTGAATGAAATGATATAAACAAAAAATGCAAAAATGAGAAATCCGTAATGAGAAAGGCCTTTTTTTTTTAAACTCTCCCTCTTCAATTCGCTTCACTCCTTCATACAAATCTCTCCTGCTTCATGGCTGCGGGCGGGAGTTCCTGAACGGAGAACAAATCATCGTTGCATCGTCTTCCACCGTGCTGTTCGTGCTGACTGTTTCCAAACCAATTCAAAAATCCGAGTCCTGATCTTTCAGAATGGCTGTTGGAAGAAGAAGAAGAACCGCCAGTGGCAAAGATATCGTCCAATCTGGTGTGCAACTGGTTGCACTTTTCGTACTTCTTTTGTCTCTTGGAAGCCAATTCCGGAGGAGTACAATCTTGCTTGCACAGAGGACAGTGCGAGGACTTGGTCGTCAACCATTTATCAACGCAATGGATGTGATAGGTATGTTTGCAGTTGGGCAATACACGGAGTTCTTCGCCATCTTGGAACTCTTCCAAACAGATAGCACATAGATCGTTGGCGTTCTCCTTGTTGATAGACTTCATGGACCTGACAGAGGATGGACGACTGCTAGAGGATTTGCCATTTGGGTATATGGAAGAACGGATCTTGTCACCAATGGAGCGATGGAAGACTTTGGTTGGGAATGATTTGACGACGGATTTGTTGAGAGTGAAGATAACGTCGAGTTTAGCGTTTGCGGCGGCTTCGCTTTGGGCTATCATGTCTGCACTTTCGCGATGTCGGAGTTGGTATAAGCGGAAATGAATTGCGACTGTTTTAAAATGAAGTTGGTTTGATTAGTGATGAGTTATAATGCTAGTTTTCGTTGAATGAATGCTTTGTATGTGTGTGTGTGTGTGTGTGTGTGTGTGTGCGTGTGTTATATATATATGCGTGTGTGGATGTATGCAAATCTATATGCTTTGTATTCTATTTATACTTTTTTGGAATCGACAATAGTCTCCCTATGCACTGTCTCACTCTTAACGCATGACGCGTGACCCTTTGGTCACGTTGATGCATAGTTCCTGTATAAAATGAAAAAATGCTTACCAGAGACAAGGAAAGATATAATTAATATGCAACCGATAACGATGATAGCAATCTGCCAAGGACTACCAAAGCCTTCATGCGACGAGACCATGACGAGTTTCACAGCAAGGTCGGGCTGGGTGGAACGGTCCTGGACATTCTTTTCCAACAGCTGGTACAAATTTTGTCCGGTACTGTCGTCTACGCGAAAAGCAGGGATGGTGATTTCAGTGCTGGAAGAATCCGGAGCTGAAGCATCGACAGATCCATAGACGACGGCACCGACGACTTGGCTTTGTTGAGCTGTGACGAGCTGATCGTGGACGGAACAGCTTGAGGATGATCGTATGAGAGCTATCCGTTGCGAGCTGAGAGCAGCAGGGAGGGAAAAGGCCGGGATGACGTTGCTGGTGTTTTTCGAACAAGCATCGCCCAGGTCGAAAAGAACACCCTAGAATAATAAATAAATAAATTATTTGTTTATTAATTTATATACATGTGTGTGTGTATGCAAATATCATCCTTCCAATTGTTGTAACACTTACCGAGACACCGCTGCCATCGGGAGAACGAGCACCTTTAACCTGCTCAATGCCGCTAGTATAGTCTTCTTGTCCGCCTTCGTTGTAAACGTCGCTCAAATCCTTACTAGAATTCGACACCTTGACAATGTCATAGTGTAAAGTAAGACTAGTACTTGCAGATATCGAGGAGCAGAATGCAAGCACCAATGCCAGTGATACCAAAACCAAAGACGAAAAGCGAGTCATGTTTAATTGATTAAAGGTTCTGTACAAAGAATATTATTACAAGCTAACACGCCAGCGTGGGGAAAGAAGGAGGATATATCGAAAATTATGGTACAAAAAAAAAGATTAAAGTTCGAGAAGTAAGAAGAAAAGAAGATAATTTTATGTGGGTGGAGTGTGTGTAGGAGGAGAGAGATATAGAGACGAATGTGAATAATATGGATTGAATGAAATGGCAAAATGTAGTTTATTGTGTATATGCAGCTTTATCCCGTGAATTTGAATGCGTTAATCATACAGTTACTTGAAAACTGCTCTTTGTTTCAAAAAACCGTTGGAGTTGGAAAGAGCGCTGTGTTTTCGTTGTTGATATAGTTTTTCGGAGAACCCCCGCTTGTTTCCTTTAAATAGAAAATTGCATTAATGCGGAAGACAACCTCTAGATATATTTGGCAACTAGTGCGGTAAACTTCAAAATGGTTGGTCTCATGTAACAAGGACGGGCTGTATTCGACAAAGAACTGGTCGAAAAGTCCTATATTCCGATTGGGGATCGTAGCACGACCGATGCAGATGGATGTATGAGAGGGCGATAATCGATGTTTGTACACAACAATTGCCATAATGGGCAGATAGTGATTAACTTTGCGGGCACACATGGGTTAAACAACAACGTTCGAAAAGGTCTATGAAAAGTGTACATCAAAAGGCATAATGGCACACCATTGGTAACTTGTGGCATTCTCGACCATTGATATTTCAAGTAATCAAGTAGCGCAATTATTATTTATATTGTGAATTTACTTTGTAGTACTTTACAATAATTGGTATAACATATGAAACCATTATTTCTCTCTTTATTCCCCATCAATAACGAATATATATTTATAGAACTATAAAGAACTTATCAGATGAGAAACAAACTCCTTGCTAACAACTCTTTCTGTTGCTCTTACGCTGCTACTACTACCCTTTCCTGTCTCACTTGAGCCTTCCTGTTGTTCATCCTCCTCTTTACCATCTTCATCCATGTACTCTGTATTCAACTTAGTTTCCGTATTCCCGTCATTGTCATTTTTCCCACCCTCCTCTTCGGCCATTGGTGTTGATGATGTAAGCATAGTCTCAACCGACTCATCCCCCCCCAGGTTCTCGTAATATTCTGGATTATCCAATGGCATAATCAGTCTGTGTTCCAAATTTGGAGTACTGGCATGCCCACAAATTACAAAACTAGAATACCACAACAAGGTTTTCCCATCGCACTAACCTTGTAACACACTTTTTACATCCTCAAAACTTCGACCTACATGACCTAGAAGAGTTGTTGCACGTTCCTTAATCTACACAAAATGACCAAGAGATCAACAAATATTTATAGAGTACAAACGCGGTTTAAGTCAAAGTCATTTAGAATGCCGGGGTATTATACCAATGAACACCATGTACGATGTTGTTAGATTAACTTTATAATTAAAGATGGACACTGTAAAAACGTTAACTCAAAACTGACCTTGGCGTCTTCGGATGCTATCCATGCAAGTGCAAGATCGACTAACTGTAGAGTAAACAGCCCCGCATCCAATTTTCGCAAATAGAATTCTTCTTCCATGTCTTCATCGGTTTCCTCTTCCTCTTCTTCTTCCAATCTCTAAGTTGAAATCCATTGGTGAATGCTCACCGACCCAAATGGAAAAAAATTTTAAATGGCTGTGGCATTGTGAACCAACCTGCTTAGCTCGTGTAATCTCCCTGTCAACAATGGCAACCTTGGCCTCATAGCTGTCCCTCAATTCCAGTAACCTGTTGACCTTTTCATAATCATTTTCAATAAATTTACTTAACAACCGTAATCGGTAATCACCGTTAAAAGGAAGGTTCTTTATGAGAGATACAATAATCCCTATGACATGTTCTAGAATTACAAATTAGATGTAAGCATAATGTTAAGTAAGTAACACCACTGCACACCACTGCACGACGGCCAAACCGTAATATAACACACATTACATAATTGTATCATAACAACATTCTGCACATTTAATGTTTATCCGACAGTAAAACCTATGTCTTGATAGTCATCCTCACCTTCTTCCTGTGCTTCCGAAAAGTTCTTGTATGACTTCCTTAATTTCTTAATGCCCTGTGCCAGACATCCAATAATCGTAACAGTACGCAGAAAGAATTAGAACTTTTTAAAGATGAAACTCAGTGTAACCATGATATATTGGGAAATTACATCTTTAATTCCTCGAGCAATCCCAATGCACGCACGCGGTAATCCACATGATCGAACATTTACACAACAGATTCTTATACTAACTGCATTACCTTGCGCATGAAAGTAGCAAATAAAGTTTTCAAGCCAAAAATTTCAACAAATCGCTCGCAGTTGCCAGCGCCATCTGGAGTGGACATGGCATAATCAAGAACTTTCATCGCCCGCATCCGAGCCATCATCTTTTCTCTGCAATTTAAATGTGCTCAGTGTTAGGTTAAACAGAAAGGCTACGACAACAAACTTACTTTGCCATAATAAGCATCAATTCGATTCCTTCGCCCTCTAGAAATTTCTGTTTTATTTCCGACTCTGCAAGTGCCGAACACAGACAGTCGAAAAAGTTTTCCATCATCTCTGTCTCATCTGCATCTTTAGGATCTTTACGTTTATATGACTTTAAATATAAGCGAAAGCTAATTAGTTCGTCTAAAGCTCGTTAGAAAGTGAACAATAGGGTGTCACTTGGTTGTTTCTTACATTTAGCACTTGCAGCAATACATCCACTCCTCCCAATTCACCCAATTTTATTCTATTAGCTAAGTGAAAATAGCAAACAAATCATCAGTGAAAAGCAAAAACTCTCCAAACAAATCACCAGTGAAAAGCAAAAACTCCTCCAAACACCGAATCAAACCCTGATAGTTACCGCGGCTATCTTGCAGCAAAATTGCCAATATTTCACTAGCGTATTGCCTATTTGAATCGAATACTTTCACTTTTATCCTCGTCAATATCCATTGCAACAAGTCCGTTTCCATCACAACGCGCTCTGATATCGATGGGTCCAGTGATGTCAAATTCTCAACAACACCTAAACACAAGGAAAAAAGAAACATTATTACGGCAAAGCGCATGACAAACATAGCATGTGTAGTAGTAGCATTTCGCTTTATGCTTAAACAAAAGCACAAATTGAAACCTTACCAAGGGTATTAAAAACCCCCTGATTATCTGCGCTCTCGTTTTCATCCAGCCGTCGCAAATTCTGAACCAGCAGCTCTAGCATCTGATTCTCCAACTTGAGTTTCCCAAGAATATTTTCACAAAAAGATTGCATTCAATCAGTCGACAACTTTTATCCCTTGTTCCAAATTACCGACATCTTCCATAATCATACCTGCTCACAGGTAATCTAGTAAAACTTCAAATTACCAGAGCATTTACGAATTCTTTCATAGCATTTTCTTCGTGTTCTGCCACAACGTCTTCGTCTGTAAGTTCATTGAGTAATTCAACTACATCGATAGCGATATCTGTGTTTTCGTGAGCAAGAAGAGAGACGATCTGAGGAACGGCGCCAAGTTGGACCACGTAAGGGTAAAGATCTGGAACTTCGGATAGCGTTTTGAGACGTTTTATTTCTTCGTCGAGATCAGCTTCAGATTCCATGAATCTGGTTTAGTGTTATGGATGACAGCGGAGGTTAACAATAGAGGTACAAAAGGCTATGATTTGGAAAATAGTTTGATATACATACTTTGATGGATCGTCAGCATATTTCACTCGAAACTCGTTGTTTTTGGTAATAGCTTTCTCGAATTTAAGAATCAATTTTCGCACACCGGCAGGATCTAATACGTCTGCCTGATATAGAGCACGCATACCAATTAGCAAATACTCTGGTATTATCTCTCTTTTCGATAAACACAAATTGTCCAACAACCTCTTCCGTCTCGACTTCGTCAACTAATTCCAGTATCCTCTTCTGCTCTTCTGTAAGCCCACCTCCGTAAAATCTTCCCTCCTCATCTTCGTCCCCGTAATCGTCAACATAGTATTCTCTTTCTTCGACCTCGTCGGAGATCTGTACTGATTTACCCTTTCCTTTGTTTTTGCTAGTTGTCGGGCTGCTACTAACGTCGAGATCTTCGTCGGAATCTTCAAGTCGTGCACGAACGTTTATTAGTACCTCGGTACTGGGAGTAGCAGTTAATTTGCGTTTGTTCTTTCCGCTTGGTATTGAAGGGAGTTTAAATATCTTGTCAATGTCCATTTGGAACTTTTTATGGGCGGGGAGTTGTGATTATCACAGAGTTCTCAAGATAATAATAATCGTGCCATTATGCAGGTCTGTGTTACGCAACCAATGATATGCGAGTTGACGCGTCTTGATGGGTCTCTATTTTGATCTATTTTTATCACACGTACGTAATTACCGAGTTTATTGCGAGGATATGTTTGGTAGATGCATACGAAGCAATACAGTAATAGAGGCTAATTTTACTTCTACGTAGAATTCATTCTTTTGCCGATCTTAACCATTTGACGAACATGTTGAACATGTTACTATTACTTAATATTAATTTAATATTAGCGTTAATTACACTATTCTAAATTTATGACAAAGCGGAATCCTAATTAATTTTCCCTTTCCAAAAAGTCAAGGAGATATTAATACCATTTAAATTCTTAGGTATAAACAAAAAATAAATTGCTTTCATTAATATTAACATGCCCTATCAATAAACTAGTATATAACATTTCTGTTACATTTCTGTTATACCACGTAGCATTCTCGTGATTATCATTCAAACATAGATAAAATAAAATATTGCATTGATTTTTATTCTGTTCACTAGCGTCATTGCAAGTCATCTTTAAATGCTTCTCACTTTTATTTGGGATCAAAAAACCGTGCTTTAAACCTTTTTATATAAAGCCGTTCTTATCGAGATCTGTTCGTATTGCTTTGTCTTGAATACCAAAACAAATGCCCTTTTACCTGGACTGAGATTATAAATTTTACTTATCCGTTGAACTCAATTAATGCTTTAAACGCAATGGTGACATCTTGTAACGTCATAATCAGTCACATTAAGCCTTCCTTCTTCCAATTTCTTGGCTCTTTCGCCAACTTTATAATTTGGGTCTGGCCAAATGTTCTCTTATCTTGGCTCTTCTTCCTTGTAAGCACTGTAGTCTAATCATATTATTATGGAAATGCTAACAAATCTCAATAAACCCGTTCTTGGCCTTATAATTACATGAGGCGTTAACAGGTGCATAGCTTCGAACATGCAACTTCATATTTCAATTGTTTTAATATCATCGAGACCTGCGACGAACCGATTTACAGCTTGTTTTTGCTGGTAAAAAGTTAATTGATTGGATTTTCCACCGTGATATGTTACAACATACTTTTAAACACATTGGTTATTAGATAATTGCCCAACATAATATCCGCTTCTAGCTGGGGCTATTGAAAATATATATTGTTCTGGTCTGCTGAGAAGCCTCGCGTAATTTTTTTAGCGCATAAGATGAGCAACAAGGGGAAATTGAAATGCTTGATTTGGTAATACATCTAATCACGTGGGTATTATTTTAATTTCTGTCACCCCATATTAATATACAAGCTCCATCGTTTCATCATGTCATCGAAACCAACAGAAACATCATCTAAAAAGCCAGTTGGTGTGTTTAGGCAAATTGTTGAAGTACCACCAAAGGTAAGAAAGCATAGATATCAGATCCTCTCTTTTTATATTAACTGTATCTCAATTAATTACTACTTTGGCAGAAACATCGTGATCCACGTTTCGATAATCTCTCTGGCAAATTCAATGAAGATTTATTTGAGAAAACATATAGCTTCATAAGCGAGTATAAGGAATCAGAGATAAATGAACTACGAGAACTATTAAGGAAAGAGAGAAACCCGGAAGAAATTGAGAAACTACGCAGACTATTAGACAAAATGGTTTACCATCTACCTGATATATGAATAACGCATGCCGTATCCTGACAAACTTTCCTCTTCTCTCTGTTTCTGTAAGCGTGAGAAAGAAAAATGTAATCAAGAGGAGGGGAAGGTTTGCGTGTGATACGTCACAGTCAATGCTGGGTATGACGATACATATAAGATCGTTGTTGTAGCGATGAGTCATTTATATGAATTTCCAGTTGCCACATAACAATTTCTTTTTACGTCAAGAGAATGGGTCGTGATACGCAACTTTGACTGTATGTGTATTATTCACAGCACTCTAATCCTTCAAATGTTAATCCGATGTTTTTTTCTCTTATTTGAAGCAATCAAGAGCAACAACAGAGGATAATTTACGACGAAAGAATCAACTCAAGCGCGAACACAGGAAGACAGAACTACAGCGTGTATCTCAGGGCAAAAAGCCTTTTTATCTTAAAAGATCAGAGGAGAAGAAACTCGAACTGGTTGAAACCTATAACAAGCTAAAGAATAATCCGAAAAAGCTAGAAAAGGTTATTGAGAAGAGGAGAAAGAAGAATGCTGCAAAGGAACATAAACGAATTCCTTTCAAACGACAAAAGACTGCAGAGTAATTTAATAAAGTTTCTATTTATAATCGACTCATCATGGGTTTGAGATATTTCTCGTCTGCTGCATAAGTAGGGGAAAAACTAGTCTCTCTCTACATAGTAATCGCGCGTTGCTTATCCGTTACAGTTTACCTGATGTGATGTGTTGATACGATACTGACCAAAACTGATAGAATGATAATGACGACGCAATCGAAAGAATGTTGTGTGCCTGTTATTTGTTTTAGAGTTTAACGAACTTTTGATTATAAACTATTTATTGCAGTTCAAACGTCATATACATTCTAGTCCTCGTTCATTAGTTGGTGCGATTTATGGTAGGCGTTATCGGTGATGGAGACTATAACTACACAGTGGATCACGACGGGAAGTTTTAGAGTAAAGGATGCCCCAATATTTCTCACTATCCTTCTTCCGTCAGCGTTGGGCCAAATCGAGTCGCGAATGTCGTGATCCATTTTATTGTCGTAGTATTTAGACCAATACTCAATCCTTTCTTCGATCAACCGACCATACTAGACAACAACGTCTAATCCGTACCATCATAACCCAGTTCTCAACACTCAAGTAATCCATTCTTCACTCGAATCAATATGATTCAAAAACAGTCAGTTTTAATAAAGACATGTCCAAACAAAGCTACATGTGACATATCATCCCCTCCACAACTCAGCCACAAAAACGACCGAAATCCATCCCACATTTAAAATCTCAATTTTGTGAAGAACCATTTATGCTTCCCGGTCTTGTATCTCTCTTGTAATATTTTCTTGATCGCCTTTCTGGCTTCCTCCTTCTGAGACACTTCTTTGAAAGTCTCTTGAGTCACGGTTCCTTTGATAGTCTCCAATTCGAAGGTGTATCTCGTAGGCATCAAGTGGTTATAATTAATCTGCTTGATAAACACCTTGATCCTCGACCGCTTGGCAATTTTTCGGGGACCCATTTTCTTGGTTATCTTCAGTGGGTAACGTTCAATGCCAGCTACAATAGCATGAGCATACGGGTGATCCTTGGTACTGTCATCGACCGGTTTAACGATTACGACTTTCTTGCCAGCATGGCGTCCCGAGAGAACGATGGCCACCTTGCCGGGTTTGATGAATTTGACCATCTCTGCTTTTCGGTATACGTTGGGAAGCGAAAAGATGTAAAGATGGATTTGGGTAGAGAGGAGGAATCGGTGAAATTTTTTTGAATTCTCTTATATGTAATTGCCTTTATTGGAATGTGTGAGGTCATTCTATCAGTTGAAATGTGATTGGCAGATGTTGTGGGATATTAATATCAGACATTTAAATTTACGCACTGCGGAAACGTCTTTTCAGCAGTTTTAATCTTGCATTACTCGGTTCAGCCATGATCCTTAATAGAAATCAAATTCAACAGTTTGGGAGCATACCGTGGACCGTCCTAGAAAATGTGCGTTTGGAATCGGAACTAAAGACAATTTTTGCAAAATCTCAATTCGACATGGTAATGGGCAAATATTCCTTACTTTTAACCGACTTGTGCAGTGTGTGGTTTGAAGAGTTAGACATGATGGGAATAAAAGAACGGGGAAAGGTATTTCTTTTTATTACAAACGGCTTGTTTAATTAAGATTACGTGATTAACTAATCCGAATTCTGGCAGGAAGTTACTTGTGGATTGGACGTAGAACAAGAAGAGAGATTAAGCAGATTAATTGAGCATTTAAAGAGTTTTATACAGCATAGACAGAGCCGTGTCATGTACACTGCTGAAAATAAGGATGGCAAGGTAAATAAAAAGAAACCCGTGTAATGTTTTGGGTTTAGCATATGCGGCTCGTCAATTACGTTTGACGCGTGCCCGTGAACAAACATGAGGTGGATATTAACATGAAACGAATAACAGATTGTTCAACCATACGAAATACGACTATTTAACCACTATCAATCCTTGTCTACAAGTTTAACTTGAGAGCAGTTCTCGAGTTAGATATGGCAGCCATTCAATGGGTATTCGCTTGTGAATTGGTACAATCCCACGGACCTGCGTCTGAAACACATGTTGACGGAAGCACCATTATTTATGAGCATTATATTCTTCCAATGACGACACTGACATTATCATATAAGAGACAAACAAGTACGTTAGAACGGATTATTGAAGATAAGGAAAAGGAGATCAACGAAGCTGTTGATATGATGAAGACGGCGGGATTGGCAATAAATGCACGAAGTAAGCATTGTATTATAAACTAGAAAAGATGCATAGGCGTTGTCTTGACTATCACCAAGTTAATCTACTCTCTCATCAGAACGCAGAACAGCCCCGTTCAACGCAAATGAAACGACCGAATCAGAGCAAAAGGTGCATTAAATTAATCAGACATGACCGATTAAGTTGTTGACGGATGCAACAATCCTTTAATTCATCTTCTATTCACACCTGTAGAAAACACTGGATACACTTAAACAATTTCAACCATCCCAAGTACTTTCCAACCCAGAAACAGTCGTCTTTTTCAAAAAAGTAACGGAAGGCTTGCTCTCACTGCCCAAGGCGTCTGTTACCCGGAAATTGACGGCGGCGGCGACGGCGACGACATCATCATTATCACAATCGTCATTGTCAGCTACAGCGAAAATATCGCCAGTAGCCAAGAAAAGTCGGACGGCAGATATTGATCCAGAGGTATGATGAATGTTGAAAAAAGCGCATTGAATTTAAAATGTAAAGCACCGCTAACCATTTTTAATGAATAGATGCGGAGGAAACTAGAAGAAGAAGAGAAGAAAAGACGCGAAGAAACCAGAAAGATGCTGTCTACTAGCACAATAACCGCCGATAAAAAGAAAAAGAAAAAGCTACGATAAACTTTTATTCTGCCGATTGGGTATGGAGAAAAAAAATGGATACCGAGGATAAAGATACGCGAATCTTGGATAGCAAATTTGACGAGATTATTGTGCACTCATTGTATAGACAATCATCAATCAAAAATTGCTTACATACAATTTGTTAAGCCAAACCCGGATTTTCTTTTTTATCGTTTGCACGTCGATTACAGCTGTTTCTCATTGATTCGGCAGGCGGTCGTTCTTTGGGAATTTCTTATATCAGGAGAACATGTGATATGCGCATATAATCGATTGTGGACAGGCCAAATTGAAAGAACCACCTTATGCAATATTATTCATTAAAGTGTCGTGCGAAGTTTACTAAAATTTTCAGTTTTCCTGTATACCGTCCACAATTACTGTCCAACCTCCACGAAAGCAAGCTACAGTTACTGATATCCATCCATGAAGAAATTTAGTGAAGTCCGTTTTAATAAAGGTCCGCTTTAATCCGGAACGAGTTGACATATAAAAAACTACCAATTTGAATGAAGTTTTATAATTAAAACACGTATAACGATATGACAAAGAATTTCGAAATAAAGCATTCAGTTGCGTGTGAATTTTTCCAAATTTGGTATAACAGTGATCAGTTTAGTAAAAATGTCGTCCGTTTAATAGAACCGTCTGTGAACAAATACGTGTTATGTAATATAAGACGTATTGTAACAATAACAACAGCAACTCTCGTGGTTTACTATCAAGCATAAACTAAGTTTACTTTCTTATTAACATATTTATTAATCGCTGAAAGTAAATTGCAAGTTGTCCAAAACCTAAGTTGTCTGACAGTTCGAAAAATCAATATATAATCTCATGAAATAGGTCTGAAAGAGAAATCTCAAAATGGGCGAATGAAGAGTTGTAAGAATGCGTGAATGACGTGTAAACTTCTATATATTATCAATCGATGAACTATTCCAACCCCAAACGCAAGACATGGCTCCTATCTCCCTTTGGTCGCAGGACTTGTTTGGCGAGGGTTATGTCATACTGTATGTCAGCTACAAACAAAAAGAGAAAAAAGTCAACCGTTTAGTAAACAACCCTCCCCTGTTCAATTCTGGTCCGTTCCGATCTGCAAACCGCATCGACTGCAATAGCTTATTTCCAAGAGAAAAACACTCCCTTGCTCATAAAACGACTTGCAGCGTTGCAAGAAACGGTGCGTGATGAGTTTTCAGAGGAAGAATCACTCTTTTCGGGTTTCCATCATAAATAGACTTTGACTAGACTAAAAAAAGGACGCAAAACTAAAAAGAAAAGAAAAGAAAGAAAAGAAAAGAAAGGACGCAAAACTATTTGACTTAATTACATACTATGATCAAATTTAAAGTTGCAAATTATTGTCTAAGTTTTGACACGAAGTCTTGTGATAGATCGAAACATTTAGGAGATCCTTCTAATTTTGGGTGAATTAACATTTAAATGAGCGCGGAAACAATATACAATGAACGATAAGTGACTCATTGCAATCAAATATAAATAGGCATCAAACCATCGCAGACTCAGTTAATCAGAAGTTCGCCAAATTACTCCGAAAATATTAAAAGCTCTTGGATAACTGCGCCCTAATGATAACAATCACTCCACCACAAACTTGTCCCGTGGCAATAAAAAAAGTTTTGAAAAAGTCCGAAGCAAAAACTGTTTTATGCGATAAAATTGAGATGCCAATAGAATTGGTCATTCTCCGAAAAATCCCACCACATCCTAATATTATAACCCTTCTTTATTGGATGAAAATCAGACCAGAGGAGTGGATGATTGAGTTCGAATTTCATGGATACGATTCGATTGGATTAAAATCAAATTTAAAAGATTACTTGAACGATGTTGCAAGAAGCAGAGGAACTAACGGATTAACAGAAGACGAATCAAAAAGTATAATGCGCCAACTGTTGCTTGCATGTAACCACTTGGAGAGCTATGGAATTTACCATCGCAATTTAAAGCTAGACAATTTAGTCATCGGCACTGATGGCAGTATCAAATTAATCGACTTTGGATTGGCAATCGAGACGAAGGAAAATGAACAACATATTGAGAAGATTGGATCGAGTAAGCATTCAAACTATTACTGCAAATATAAATAGTGATCAAACGCACGTTTATTATACTCGTTATTTTATATATTTGCTAATCTAGTGTTTAAATCTCTAGTTGTTCCACCTGAAATGTATGGCCACGTCACTTATAGACAATCGACTGCGCAAATATGGGTATTAGGAACCATTTTTTACCAACTTTTTGAAAGAATCGAACCTTTTCAGAAAGAACGAGTAATTTGTAAAGCCTTAGGACCGGTCATGTTCAGCAAATATAACCGTCCTTTGAAAAATTGTGTGGAGTTGATGGAGTGGATGTTGAACGTTGACCCTAACAGAAGGCCACAATGTATTGATGATATCCTTGATCACGAGTGGATAAGCCATGGTTGAGTATTGTTACTATGCTTTCAATAGTAATAGCAGACTTTAATATGTTATATGGCTTGTTAATATTATAAGAGAATGTATGTGTCTTATAGATAATATAGTAACGGACGGTAAGTCTTTTGACATTTGACATTTATACAAGGCTTTTTTATGGTCGATCATTACATGTCCAGGGACATTTCACTGACCGAAAATGGAATTATGACATGTTTGTAATATGTTGGTATATTATCCAACAAATAATTATGCGGATGCGGCAATTAATAAAACATACAGTGTGTAACAAAAAAAACCGGATATTTTTATTTTGTCATTGCTCCTCAACTGGTTAGCCAATTTTCATAAA